AGGGACTACATCATGTTGCGGTGTGTGTAGACGGCATCATCCTGTATAGTAATTCAAAACCAGAGCTGCCGTTCACGTGAAAGCCCCGTTGAAGCGCATTCGAGAGGCTTGTCTGCGGATAAGAGAAACCAAGGCACAACTCGCTCGGCGTTCGGTGACACTACTCTGACATAAAGCGGGTGAGTTAAGCTCACTTTCAGAAAAATTGCCGAAGGTCCAAGACTGTACAGCCTCTAATTTGAAGCGATCTTTAACGCGGTTTCCTGGACAAGCAGAGTATTTAGGTCGATTTGCTAAGAACTTCAATGCGATTGTTGCTCCCCTGTACAAATGGTTGCATCACAAGCGGGTTTTGAATGGAAAAGAAAAGTGTATGGGGCCTTCAATGGTGTCGAAGTGCGGATGCTGGATCAAAACCGACCCTCAAACTACCTAGGGTCATGGAAGTGTTTACTCTAGCAAGAGACGCAAGCGACCGCGGTGTTGGCGCAGCCACAAGGGTGGGATTTTAGTCATAGGATACGCTGGTCGTTCCCTAATTGACTCTGAGCAGAAGTATTTACTTCTAGGAAAGAATGTTTAGCGATCGTCTGGTTCTATGCGAAGCCATAACAACTTGGACAAAGATTTCATGTCGAGACCAGTGACAAACCCATGGAGTGGATCATGACCATCAGAAATCATCGCGGAAGGCTCGCAATTAGGCATTCTCGTTGTATGGGTGCGACTATCCGGAGTGTCACGGAATTATAACCACCTGGCCGATTGGCTGGTAAGACCACAGGCTGAGGATGCGGTCCCCAGAATCATTATTGTTGCCAAAAGCATGTTCGTCGAACTGAATCCTTGAAGGTTGGTGCGAATCCAACGGCAGGATCTATAGAAGCTTGCAGCCGTTTTGTTGGATTGAAGCAATATCGAGAACGGAGAGCGAGATATTGAATTGGAAACGTTCCACAGCCACTCAAGTAGGCTGCGTCTGAAGGAAGCTAGCATAATTTACTTGAACATGTATTTTGAGGTTGTGCTGCCCGTGACGCCACTGCTTGAGACGGAAACTGATCGCGAGATACCACGCACATGGAGAGCATCAAAACACGTGGCTTACTTCGGCAGGCGGTTTGCCGACCCGCGATGAGGAGTGAGGTAATAAATTTTGTGGTGACCTGCAAGCAGTACCAGCTGATGAAAGGGGATACGGCAGAGACCNCGCTGGTCACCGTTGATTCGCAGGCGGAATCAACAGACACTTCAGCTTATTTTCGCGTTCTCCGGTGTTCTTACCAAATATGTCCATCGCCCCCGAAATTCCGCTTACTAAATAAATCACATGATCGCAGGGTCACAGAGGGACGCATCGAACGCTGGCACTTTTTGTACGGTAATAAGCTCGGAAATAACCGTCTGAAGGAGATATGCACCACCGCCGTCTGTCACTCCTAGGGTGCTTAGCCTGAAGGCTAGGTTGATGCACGCAAGCAAACTGATTTTGTAGTTACCCTCCTGTGGAAGGGCATGTGGACAAAACGGTAACAGGCGGACAAGGGGCGACGCTTTTGGTGACTGATAGCTTTGGGTGAGGACTACGTCATGGAAAAAGGAGGAGAGAATGGCCTTATCAGTACGTTACGTACGTATTGGGTGTGGGAGCCCACATAGTGGATTATAAAAGTTAATTTCAAATGGAAAAAATAACGGGAAAAGGACTTGTTTTACTTGACCAAGCTGTAGAAAACCCTTCTGAACTAAGACACCAAAGGAGGAGCAGGTTCTGTTAAAGCGTCTTAATGTAAATGAGGCATCAAGCAGGGCGGAAGTGTTAAAGTGAGATTAGGGTCAGTTTAGATCGCTACTTGTGATACGAAGAGCTGAACGCTAGTAGATAAATTCACACCGTTCTTAAGTCAGGGAGCAACAGGATGTTGCAGTGTTCTAGGAGAGGGAGGACGAAGGATAAATAGGAACCCACATCATTGCGCTGAACAACAGAGTGGGAGGTACAGCACAAAAGGTGATCCACTCTAGTGGCTTGCTTACAGAAGTGAAGAAATATCGAGGCAGGGAAGTTCGGAGTTTTCCAGGTACCTATCCCTATGTTATGTATCCCTATGTTAATCACAGCGAGAATGAGTAAAATAAAGCGGGCGAACCTTGATGTTAATATTAGGAATAGCTCTACGATGAGTGTTGCCAGGATTTGGAGAGAGACTGCCACTACATACCTGGGCCCCATTTCGAAATGTATCTGGCCCCATTTCAGCGGCTTTCATGGGGCAGGAAAAAATGGAGTAAGATTGGTCAGACACGGATGAGTCGCGGCAAAACATGCTGAGCCAATAGAGGCCGGAGTTTTGCTGACAAATAGTTCTATAATTTTACAGAAGATATAAATTGGAATAATAAGCCGATCAACACTGAGGTCGTGTTGTTGATCGGATGGACGATGATGTTCATCTGGCGGAGAACTAGCAGGAACTGTTTCGATACACAGTGAAAAGCACTAGACTGTGGTGTTTGGCTAAGATAGCGATCTGCCCAAAGTTCCAAAATAAATTGGCAAAATAACTACATCAGTGGTTAGCCGCTCAGTATTTCACGTTACACAACCGAAGGTTTTAGGTTACCGCCGTCCGGACTTTCACCAAGGCACTCTCACATACGATAAGTTCCTTTTTGACTCGCTCCCATTTTCGCACTGTATTTATTTTTATACGTGTCGCAGAAATACTAAAAACTTTTATTAGTGCACATTCACCTTCTGATTTGTATTATGGCTATCGCCACCTGTGCACTAATAGATTCAGACCCTTTTTTCTGACAGAAAGCGACACACAAATGTGAGCAGTGGGACACAACCCAACACAGCGAACGAGCAGCAGAAGGTGGTCGCACTTAATGCTGCTTGCTTCATTGGGTTAGATATTCTCTAACGACCAAAGCTTTTGTTCGGCGTAACACGAGCCTGGAAAGTCCATATGGGCGTCATGCTTTGGTGTCTCCAAGACTGCACCCTGAGAAGGGGGGTTTGACGAAATATATGCAGTAGCAATCACCGGAGCAAAAACCGAGTTCATTTACGAAAAGGGTTGCCTGAAAGCGAGAGGAAAACACAAACTGACAGAGAAATATATATCAGTTTTATGACAATGCATGAATATTCGCAGACGCTACGAAACTCTTTCAGTCCATGGTTGGCTTGAATGAATTGACGGACACCTTGCTCTAAGTCAGTGTAAACTTTCATTTTTGGAAGGGTCGCCCATTCATAACAACGTGGTTAGACAATGGCAAGATGAAGTTGTCCCACACACTGACTGAAGAAGCCCTAACCTTTGCAATTTGAGGAAACACTGGCAGTGTAAACTTTCATTTTTGGAAGGGTCGCTCATTTACAATAACGCGGTTACACGGTAGTAAGATGAAGTTGTTCCACACACTGATTGAACAAGCCCTAACCCTTGCAATTGGAGGAAACACTGGTAGCTCAGGTTGTAATGATGGCCGATGGTTTGCTCGCCCTGACAAATCACGGTCATTTGCGTGAGCTATCCTATTGCTTTGTTGGTTAACTTGTCTTCTGATGAGTGAGTATCCGAATAGCCTTGAGACTTGACCTCTTCGGGCTTTCACTCCTGACCTTTGCCTCCACAGTGAGGCAGATCCCCGCGGTCCGTTGTCTAATGGATGGGGCTGAAACTGTTTTATGGTCGATTTGGTGGTTTCTTGCTCGTGGCTGTGCGCAGACACGGGCGATTTCGACATGTCTGTTGATCAAGTCCTTTGCAGAGTGCCGCGCTTCTCGAAACCTCCTCCTCCATTTTGAAATTCCATGTTCTACGACCCTTACGGTTTTTTTTAGATTTAAGCTATATCCTTCCTGGTTTTCAACTATGAAAATAACGGAGAGCGGAAACTTGGGGACTGCGCCTACGTGAAGGGGCTGTAGAAGAGTTCTCAGCGAAGTTGTGAGTAGTTTCCTTTATGAGAGCGGGTCATGTTTCTCACAGCTGCGTTGTGCTCTTTCAACCATTTAGGAGGTTTTCTTCCCGTCTGTCCAGTATACTCTTTGTTGCAGTAAGTGCAATTGACTCGGTATACGTCGTTTATCGCGCGTTCCTGGGTGTTGTCCTTCGGTTTTGAGCTCGTTTTCACAATATTGCTGCTGGATTGTGGACTTCTTCTAGCAGCTTTAACCCTTTCGAGAATTCAGATATCCTGATGTACGGAAGGAGTATCTCGTTTTGGAACGGCTGGATAAACAATCGGTAGATTTAACTGTGAGCGTTTCGCTTTTGATACAAAAGCTTCATCAGGCCAGGTGAGTGGGGCCAAGCTCTAAGACAGAGGGGCGACCACTCATTAAGCCCTCTTCAGATTGGCACATTAAACCAGTGCTGAAAGCCAAGTAAAGGGTCTTGTCGGTTAGGGTGGTCGCCTAAAGCTTACATTAATTGAGAGAGTAACCAAATAAATTCATTTCCCATTGCCGGAGCAAACGTGTCGAAGATTTGGAGGCCCGTGGCAGGCCGACTCTCTCAACACCAACGGAGCCCGAAGAATCGATAAACGTGTGTCTATTGTTCGGAATTGCGAGATGATCTCCAGAGGTCCGACCCCTTCTGGAGTAGCTATTGGCGAAGCAACTCCGGTCGATTCATTTAACGAGCTCAAAATAAAAATTTTCGGATATAAAATAGCCAGCCGCCCTGGATTTAACCTTTCGTTGCTTGTGTGTGACACAGTGACGTCATCGTGCAAGCTTTTCCGCGGTAGTTGTACAATGGTTCAAATTCACGAAACGACGAAATTCGGTCACACGCAATGAGCACCTAGGCCCTAAGACCGGTGCGCCATGTGGTGACCAATGAGTGGTGTTCGACAGAAAAGTCAGTTAGGCGCATAAAACACGGCGGATACGGTGTACAAACGTGCCACATGCCACCTTACCTTTGCACTCAATGCGGAGAAAAAATAACTGTATCGGAATAAATCAAAATTAATTTAGCGACAGAGAGCTGGAAAGGGTCGAAACGGTGCCCAGTGACGTGGGATAAACAAAATCATTGGCACATACGCAGGGTGATAAACCGAAGTAATGATACATAAGGAGGCTTTTCAAAGATAGTCACTGAGCAAGTTATCGATGAAATATTGCAAGAGACAAATTGAGATCGCCCATAATAGGAGACTCCCTCGGATACTGCTGTACAATAATATACAATCGTTTATTACGATTCAGTTACACCTCGGCGCTGCGAACGTCACGAGTGATCCGTCAAAACAAGCGAAGATTTGCAAAGTTCATTACGACAGCAGAACAATACAAGTTGTGGAATCAACAAGGAATCACGTGAGGGACGAGTTCCGCAGTACATATAATCTCCGAAGATGAACAGGTCGTCAACTGCTCTGTACCGTTTGCGTGACTAGAAAATAGAATGAATAAAAAACGACAAAAATGAGAATACAGGTGGGTTGACGAACATGTTTTCGGCAGTCTTTTCAAGTCATACAATTGCAAAGGTTAAGAGAGCGGTATTTAACATATTTGAATGAGTATGATGTAAATAGACAGGGGATCGAGTGAGATGACATCGGCTACCTATCAAAGAACCATTAGTTCAGGTCGCCAATAGGATGACTTGAGCTAGTCAGCTCGGGGGGTGTTGTAGTTGTGTGTTCAGCACACGATGCACGTGTGGGGGGAGCTGAGTTGGACCATGGTAAGTACAACACACGAACAAAGCGTTTTTGCCGACAAAGGATCGGGTCGCGATGTCGTATGGCGATAGCTTCAGCCACTGCGATTGTGCGCTGCTGTACTGATCTGGGTTGATTAGCCGGCGCCTTTTAAACAACGCGGAAGCTTTGGCTGGGTATCATGTTGTGTGCAGTGTCAGTTAAACGTTGTACTACAGAGCTGGTTATCGTCCTTCTAATTCCAGAAGCTAGCCAAGGTGGATTGTGTTCCTTCATTCTTTGGCCGAGTTGCCTAGTCGTGCGTCCGATGTATTTCGCTGCACAGCAGCAAGAGAATGAGTAAACTAACATATTTTGGGCGCGGACAGGCACTCTATCCTTGAGATTGTAAGAGACGAAGTTGTGCGGTGACATAGTCTGGAACATCTGTTAATTGATACGAATGTTGTATTAGAATCAGAAGTGAACAGATGGACAGATCGTCTCAGTAAGTTGAAATGACCACAAATATAATGCCGTTTGACAAAAAACCATGAATGGATCTCTAAAGCACTAAGCTGCGAATGAAGGTGAGTTGCCTACAAGATCGAAATTTGCAGAATCATGCTGACTCGTCTAGTCAACATCCTCATCCCCGTCAATCGGCGTAGTGTTGCAAATGATGAGACGGGTCTCAGTAGATCATTCGAACCCACGTTGATACGAATTCGCACCGCTGGACAAGATGTACTCTGAGGAAGCATTCTTAAAAATGAGCAGAAGTCAGCCGCCAAGTTTGGTTTACCTACCGTTCAAGGACTATGATAACGCAGAACGGTGCGCATCCTTACACCCAAGGGCCAAATTACACACAATAATTTAGAAAATCCGTTAAACCCACCTGACCATACTATCTAGGCGACTAAATTCACGCGCATTTGATGTATTCTTGCCAATTTATCCGCAGACAGTTTTGGTACCAGGCGGTCAAGTATGGTCGGTAGGAGCATAGGGAGTTCGAAAAATTAAGCGTGGGTCAACATCACAACTAATAGTGATCGTTCCACTTTTCCAGTGTCTAGTTGCCATGCCATCCAAAGTAAGTAGGATGGCTGAGATACCGGCAGGTTGTCCAAGACCAGTCGAGATGCCCGGGTTGAGTTCCAACCATGGACTACCGGTCAGTAAGGTCATACTTTAACCAGAGCTTTTCCGAGCTGAACAGCTGTGCTTGAAAAGAGACTGAAAGCCGAAGACATAGGATACAGAACGTTCGAAACGAATGCTAGAACGCTCGATGTTCATGAGTTAGGCAGTGAGACCAGTCAGAGCCTGTTGACATTTCGTTCGTCTGTTCGGGAGATTAACTGGCAAGATATACTATGATTTGTATCCACATACACAGAGGGGATGAGTGACCGGAGGGCGTATGATGGCCTGAAGTTGAACGACCGATGCCACTTCGAACTGCCCTGAGCGAGTCTGCGCGATTGTGACAGGCTTTTATTCAATAACCCAACCACATATGAAGTCGAACGTTTGTTGAAGTGTGCCACACGCACACAGCAGGTGTTTGATGGACACGGTAAGTTAAAGGTTGAGTGAGTGCATTTCAGGAGAGTTGGACTTCCCAATGTTATGGTGATATCGGGTGCGATCGATAATGGTAGGCACCTAGCATGTTGTTATGTTCCCCGAAATCAAGCTCGGCACATCCCTAATTTGGTCTGAAAGATCAGAAATTAGTCAGAGTTTAATCGAAACGTCCAACCCACTTCTGTGTGCACAACAAAGAGGGAATGATATATGCGATGTTTTGTGAAATGGCAAGAGGTCTCTGGAGCAGCCAAACAACCGATATCGGTTACAAACAAACTACATCCGAGTCGGCTAAAAAATGAAAATAAGACAGTGTGGCCGATAAATTATCCGGATCAACATATCGACCTGTTGATCCACACAAAAACCCAACCTGATTTTAACCAACAGGTGATAGAGTTATTCACAATTTTAGGTTGATTGATAGGCCAAGATGTCCTGATTATTTGATGCACTTGAAAAGTTCAACCGAAAGCGGTAGGTGTAGAGCGGACAAAAAAATCCGTTGCGCTACTTCTAAATTATGGACGAAGGCACAACACCGCACTATACTTAGTCAGCTGACCAGATCACTGAAGATGGTGTTAGGATATACAGCACATAGACGATGATTATAGCCTCGAGGCAGTGGAAACATCCGCAATACGAGTTGACGCATCCTGTTGTAGAACATGAACTCCTCTCAAATGCAAGTACAAGCTCTCTGGAGAGATCGCGTGAGTGAGAATGGATGACAGACCAGTTTTCGAAGTGAGTGGGGGCGAAATGGCCTAAGTGGTTAGAGCCCGAATTTACTGACCGGAAGGTCCGTGGTTCGAATCCGACCTCCGTCACTAGACTTCCCCTGTCTAGGCTTGGGCAACCTGGCAGTATCCCAGCCCTCGCGGTTCCT